TTCAGTGGTGTACATGTATTCCAAAATTCACAAAATCAAGTATCATTTATTGTATGATACTAAATATGTATCATTTATTGTTCAACAACTATACCCCAATTATACCCCAATAAAGTTACAAAAAAAATCATAAAGTTAAACCACAATCTGTAAAAACCACTGTAGCAAGACAATAAAGAGGTATTATCTACAAGGTAATGAGGGCCCTAACAAATCAACTAAAAATACAAGTGAAGCAATGGAAAATGGGCACAGAGCACATGCTCAAATAAAATTGTTCTGCCTCAACAAAATGTTAAAATTCACCTTATTCACGGAGGGTTTTGAAGGAAAAACAACATCTGTGAGGATCGCCAGTGAGAATGTGGTCCTTCAGGTGGAAAGAGCATTCCTCACAGAGCATCCTAACTGCACTTCCATCATCCTAATCAGACCTCCATCATCCTAACCAGACCCTCAGCATCCTAATCACACTCCCAGCATCCTAATCACACCTCCATCATTCTAATCACACCCCGAGAACCCTCACCACACCCCCACCATCCTAACCAGACTCCCAGCATCCTAACCACACCCCCAGCATCCTAATCACACCCACCATCCTGACCACACCGTCAGCATCCTAATCATGCCCCAAGCATCCTACCACATCCCAGCATCCTAATCACACCTCCAGAATTCTAACCACACCCCCAGCACCCTAACCACACACCCAGCATCCTGACCACACCCCTAGCATCCTGATCACACTCCCAACATACTAGTCACACCCCCAGCATTCTAATGACACCTCCAGTATTCTAATTATAACCCCAGCATCCTAATCACACCCCCAGCATCCTGGCTACAATCCCAGCATTCTGACCATACCACTGGCATCATGACCAAACCCCTAGCACCCTGATCACACCCCCAACATCCTAGTCACACCCCCAGCATCCTAATCACACCTTCATTATCCTAATCACACCCCCAGCATCCAGATCACACCCCCAGCATCCTGGCCACAAGCCCAGCATCCTAACCACACTTGCACAATCCTAACCACACCCCCAGCATCCTAACCACACCCCCAGTATTCCAACCACACCCCTAGCTTCCTGACCACACCCTCAGCATCCTGATTACGCCCCCAGCATCCTAATCACACTCCCAGCATCCTGACTATATCCCTATCATCCTAACTACACCCCCAGCATTCTAACCACACCCCCACCCATCCTAACCACACCCCAGCATCCTGATCACACCCTCAGAATCCAGACCACAGCCCCAGCATCCTAATCACACCCTCAGCATCCTGATCACACTCAGCATTCTAATCTCACCCCAGCATCCTAACCATACCCCCAGCATCCTGATCACACTTCCAGGATCCTGATCACACGCTCAGCATCCTAACCACACCCCCAGCATCCTGATCACACTCAGGATCCTGATCACACACCCAGCAGCCTAACTACACCCCTAGAATCCTGATTGTACCCTCAGCATCCAGACCGCACCCCCATCATCCTAATCACACCCCCAGCACCCTAATCACACCCTCAGCATCCTGATCACACCCAGCATTCTAACCAAACCCCCAGCATCCTGGCCACACCCCCAGCCCTTCTAACTCATCCCTCCAGGCTCAGCATCCTAGGAGCTACCTGGTCTGTCAGATCCCCAAATTCCAAAGGTGAAATACAAGCCCCACCCCACATATACATATGTCCTTGAACTGTATTTTTTCAGTCCAATCATTTACAAACTTTACATTTTGTTTGTTTGGATTTGTTTTTTGTTTTGTTTTTGAGACAAGGTCTTGCTCTGTCACCCAGGCTGGAGTGTAGTGGTGCAACCATGGCTCACTGCAGCTTCCAACTCCTGGGTTCAAGTGATCCTCTGGCCTCAGCCTCCCAAGTAGCTGGAAATACAGGAGTGCACATCAGGCCTGGCTAATTTTTAAATTTTTTTCAGAGGCAGAGTCTTTCTCTGTTGCCCAGCCTCATCTGGAACTCCTAGGCTCAAGCAATCCACCTGCTTCAGCATCCCAAAGTGCTGGGATTACAGGCATGAGCCACTGCACCCAGCCTCATTTACAGTTACATTACTCAAACCCAATGCAGAGAGGGGATTCTTATAATCCTCAGGCCAGGATAGAGCTCCATGGAGGTTTGGACCACAGGCTGCATTGTTATGGTGAAGGCATACCTATCTCCTCCCTGTGGAAACACAGACTCCTTGAGGCCACAGGAGCATCTGTTCCTGCCTAGCCCCTCAGAACAGAGCACGTGACTTCCTGCCCTGCATCCGGAATCATATATTGAGTTTTATTATTATTATTTGTTTTTATTTTGTTGTTGTTGTTTTCTTTTCTTTCTGAGACAGGGTCTCCCTCTGTCACCCAAGCTGGATCGCAGTGGTATGATCACAGCTCACTGCAGCCTAGAACTCCTGGGCTCAAGCGATCCTCCTGCCTCAGCCTCCCAAGTAGCTGGAACCACATGTGAGCACCACCAAACCCAGCTAATTTGTTTCATTTAGTATCTTTTTTTTTTTTTTTTTTTTTTTTTTTTTTAGAAACAGGATCTTGCTATGTTACCCAGGCTGGCCTGGAACTCCTGGCCTCAAGTGATCCTCCTACCTCTGCCTTCCAAAGTACTGGGATTACAGGTCTGAGCCACCCCTCTGGCTCAAACATTTTTCTTATTCAAGTTTCACAAGAACCCTGATCTGGTATCATGGTTAATATTATCATTATTACCCTTATTTCTAATTTGACGACTGCAAAGGCTTGCAGCTGAGTGATTGTGCCCGTGGTTGTCCGGTTCATCCGGAAGGAAACCTGAGCCTCCTGCCTCCTGCCTCCACGCGCAGCATTTTTTCTCAGAGCCCCAACTACTTTTGGAAACCAGAGCTGCAGAAAAGTGCCGCTTTGTGGAGGGAGCTGAGGCGAGGCGGGCCGGGGTGGGCGTGGCCCGAGGTGGAGCTACAGGGTTCCTTCTCCCTCTCCTGTCCCTGTCCGCCAGCGGTTCCACTTGGCCTGCCCGCAGCGGACTGAAACTGATAGGATCCCAGGGGAACCAGAGCAGAGCTGAGAGGGACAGGGACAGGAGGGAGAGCCTGCCTGGAAAATCCCAGGTGGCTGTGGAAAGAATAAGGGGAGAAACAGGAACATCTATAGGAAAAGGGACATTTTGTCCACATTTTGTGGCTCCTAGGCTTTCCAGCTTTTCTCCCTTTAAGCCTCTATTAAGGGGAAAAAAATAAACAGATAAATAGTTCATTTATTAATTATTAACAAACAAGTGGCACTAATGAATAGCATCATTAAAGGGCATTTTGTGAATATTAATGTGTAGTTATATTCTGAGTAAGGTCTCCGTTCTCCACTTGGCCAGCAAAGGTCTTTCCCATCCTTGTTCAAAAGTCACCTATCTTAATTACACCCCCCGACTGCCGCCAATTAAAACTCCCGCAGTCACAACCCCGATCCGGTATTTCCTGGAGTCCTTATCACATAGGACACTATTAACACATGATTTTGACGTTTATTTTCATTGTCTGTCTCTGTGAACCAGAGCACATGCTTTATAAAGGAATTTTTGTGTTTTGTACACCGATATGAACAGGTGTCTGATAATCCCATAATGGGGGCAATAAATATTTGTGGAAAAAATAAAATAGGCCGTGCCTGGTGGCTCATACCTGTAATCCCAGAACTTTAGGAGGCTGAGGCAGGTGGATCATTTGAGGTCAGAAGTTCAAGACCACCCTGGACAACATGGTGACACCCTGTCTCTATTAAAAATACAAAAAATCTGCCGAGTATGGTGGCATGCACCTGTAATCCCAGCTACTTGGGAGGCTGAGGCAGGAGAATTGCTTGAACCTCAGAGGTGGAGATTGCAGTGAGCCAAGATCGTACCACTGCATTCCAGCCTGGGTGACAGAGCGACACTCTTTCTCAAAAAAAAAAAGAAGAAAAGAAAAAAAATAATACTACAAGTGAGAGTAAGAGGGGCTCCTGCCATATGCCACCACCCACTATCTATACGATTCCTCCTTTCTGTCATCAAAGGCTTGCGAGAGAGGTGAAGGAAAGCTCGCCTCGGTCATGAGCTCTGTCCTTCCATCTGAGCAGGTTCTGGAAGTCTCCATCGCAGAGCTCCTGGCTGCTACCCCCTGGCACTCCAACGCCTTGGGCAGCATCATCCCAGACAGGCGCAGTCAGTTTCAGAGTGCAAACAGCCCAGTGCTCTTGTTTTTACAGGACCTCGGGAGACGGAGTTGACTTCCCAAGGGTACACAATGAGTTCCTGGGTCCCTCTCTCCCTCTCTATACTTTGTCAGTTGCTGGCCAATGGCCTGGCCCTTGGCAAATGCTGGAAGGTGGAAGCTGTATTGAGGCCTGGCAGCCTCTGCTGTCTGTGTTCTCTTCTCCTCTCACCGCAGTGCTGGTCTTTCCTCTTTCAGCCTTCCCAGAGCCGTGATGTCCTCAGTGATTCATCAGTGATTGCATTTGTCCAAGCAGACAAAACCCCTATCTGACTGCAGACTGCAGGGGAGGAGGTGCCGGCATAGAATTTCAGTCCTCAGGGAGCTAAGTAGAAAGATATTTTGCAGAGGAGGGTCATCTTGTCCAAACTCTAATATGTGCTTTTTCTAAAGAGCTTTCAACTTTTTAAACCCACAGGACAGAGCAGAGTCCAAAGCCAGCAAGAGGAAATGACTGGCCCAGGGTCTCTCTGCGAGTCAGGGCTGGAGGAATCCAGGTTTTCCAATTCCCAGCTCTCCATCTTCATATTTTCTCTTCCCTCAGTTGTCAACATATCTCGAGCAGGGAAGAGCTGCATAAATGAGGACATTTTCCGCAGATTTTGACTCTTCCCAGCTCGAAGTAAGCCTGACATAGGGATGGCTTATTCTCACTCCTACCTCAAACCTCATCATCAGAGGCTGCCAGGGTGAACTTGGAGCAAGAGATAAAAAACCTAGTGCTTAAAACAGGCCAGATCCTTTTGTGGTTCATAAGCATGATGATTGGGTTTCAGGCTCTTGTGTGAGATGTGCCTCGCTCAAACATTGTTATGACATCTGCACATTACCCATCTGATGGGAAGGAAAAGAAAAAGGCCAGGCACAGCAGTTCATGCCTGCAATCCCAGCATTTTTAGAGGGCACGGCAGGAGGATCACTTGAGCCCAGGAGTTTGAGACCACCTGGGCAATATAGCAAGACCCCATCCCTACAAAAAAAAATTAATCAGGTGGGAGGATCACTTGAGCCCAGGAGGTTGAGGGTACAGTGGGTTATGTTTGTGCTACTGACCTGCAGCCTGGCAACAAAGCTAGACACTGTCTCAAAAAAAAAAACAGGCCACAGTGATTTCTAATTTTTGAGTATCTAATATGTGCCAAGCACTTCCAAGTATCCATCCTCTGGCATAATCTACACAACAATCCTGCAACATCGGCTCAGAGAAGTTAAGTAGCTTACCAGCTACCACAAAGCCAGAAAGGATCAAAGCTGGCATTTACACTGAGCATAGCATGACTTCAGAGCCCATGCTTTTGCTCCTTAAAATCTTAGCTGCAGTGGGCAACGTCAAAACGGAGAAAAAGACCTTCAGGGAGATGACCCTGTTGTCTCTCAAGGCTGCCAACTCCAAAGGAGCCTCTTCTATCCCACATTTCCGGACTGGGTTTTCCACAGCTCCCGTTGCCATGGCATTAGGGGCTCTTACTACCATTTGAAAACCCAGAAGAGGAAAATAAGAGGGTTCAGCTCTTTGATTCAAGAACTGACCAGTTCAAGGGCCAAGCATGGTGGCTCACACCTGTAATCCCAGCACTTTGGGAGGTCAAAGTGGGCAGATCACCTGAGGTCAGGAGTTCAAGACCAGCCTGTCCAACACAATGAAACTTTGTTTCTACTAAAAATACAAAAGTTGGCCAGGCACAGTGGCTCACGCCTGTAATTCTAGCACTTTGGAGGCCAAGGCGGGTGGATCATGAGGTAGGAGATCAAGACCATCATGTCTACCACGGTGAAATCCCATCTCCACTAGAAACACAAAAAGTTAGCCAGGCATGGTGGCACCTGCTTTGGTCAACTACTCGGGAGGCTAAGGCAGGAGAATCACTTGAACCCAGGAGGCAGAGTTTGTAGCGAGCCGAGATTGTGCCACTGCACTCCAGCCTGGGTGACAGAGCAAGACTCTGTCTCAAAAAAAAAAAAAATTAGCCAGGCATAGTGGCTGGCACCTGTAATCCCAGCTATTCAGGAAGCTGAGGCAGGAGAATCACTTGAACCCAGAAGGCAGAGGTTGCAGTGTGCCGAGATCATGCCACTGAACTCCATCCTGGATAACAGAGGGAAACTCTGTCCAAAAAAAAAAAAAAAAAAAGAGCTGACTAGTTCTTTTAAAAGATCAATTCAATCTGGTCCTTGAATTGAGATTAGAAATTAGAGACAGATGATGGCACTTGCAGGCCTTGGAGTTATTCAACTTCTTTCTCTAAGAAGTTCTGTTCACTTTTCAGACACGATCTCATTCTCCTTTCCAGGACCATAGTGGGAGAGCAGAGAGGGATAGGGACTGTTCTCTGCAGGGTCAAACGAGGAGTGAGGCTCATGTCCCCACCCCTGTGACAGAACCTGCTCCATCTTCTCTCTTCTCCTGCCTGCCATGAAAGCTAAGGCTATCACACCAGTGGCACTCTTACAGGTAAGCTGGAATTTACATGAGGGCCGTGGTTTGTCCCATCAAGTTTAAAAGATCAAGAAACAGGGCCAGGTGTGATAGCTCATACCTGTAATCCCAGCACTTTGGGAGGCTGAGGAGGGTAGATCACTTGAAGTCAGGAGTTTGAGACTAGCCTGGCCAACATGATGAAACGTGATCTCTACTAAAAATACAAAAATTAGCCGAGTGTAGTCCCAGCTACTTGGGAGAATGAGGTGGGAGAATTTCTTGAATCTAGGAGGCACAGGTTGCAGTGAACTGGGATTGTTCCACTGCCCTCCTGCGTGGGTGACAGAGTAGGACCTTGTCTTTAAAAAAAAAATCAAGAAATAAATAATCTCCTATGTCTGTGGACTATTAGAGCTGAGAAGGACGTCCCTGTTCCAAGTTTATCCTCCCAGCAGCCACCTGGCATCTTCCAGAGGCAAAAACAGGAGCCCAGAGAGATGAAGCAAATGGAAGGGAAGGAGCTCCTGTTCACAACAGGCTTTAGGCATCACAGCCACCTTTCCTGCTCCAGTGAGGAACATTTTCCATGGCCACTTGAATATGGTCAGCATATGTTTGGTTCACTGTTATCTCGTTTGATTTGCTCCATGCTATGATCTGTGTCCCTCCAAAACTCCTGTTGAAATCATAACCCCCAAGGTGATGGTATTAGTAGGTAAAGTCTTTGGGAGGTGATTAGGTCATGAGGGTGCAATCTTCAGAGTGAGATTAGTGTCCTTATAAAGGAAATCGCAGAGAGCTCATTCACCCCTTTTACCATGTAAGGATACAGCAAGAAGGTACCATCCATGAACCAGAAAGTGAGCCCTCACCAGACACCAAATCTGTCTTGAGCTTGGACTTCTCAGCATCCAGAACTGTGAGAAATAAATTTCTGCTGTTTATCAGCCAACCTGGTTATAGTCTATTCCTCAGTTTCCCCATCTGCTACATCCCCGTTTGTTACAGCAGCCCAAATGGACTAAGACACTCTGTGACCGTACTTGCCTTTAGTGCAATGGCACAGTGAAAAGAAAATGCCCTTTGGAATCAGACAGACTTGGGTTTAAATCTCATTTCTCCTTGCAATGAATAGCTGTGTGATTTTAGCAAGTTACTTAATATTTCTTCAAACTCAAGGCTGAGAACAATCTGGACAGGCCCCTTTTAAATCCAACACTCTCTGGTTCTCTGTCCTAGATTACTTAAAATAAGGTACTGGAGGACTCCAACTCATGGCTTTATGTGTTGATATTCTAGTACTTGTGTTTCAAATGTTTTTAACATTCAGCATTGAATTCCATATCTCAAATTTACCACATTTTTATACTTAGAAACTATGGTTTATATCACGTTGACCAGTTGTCAATACAGAGGGATCTGTTGGGAGTTCTGAAACAGAGACACGTACAAATTTCCAATTTGGCCAGACAACTCAAAGACGAAAGGAGAAGAGACAGAGCTCTTGCTTATGGAGCACACTCTTGAGTAACCAGCTTCCCATTTTGTAGGTGAGGCCGAAGACGTCAAACACTGTTTGTTTGGGCATCTGTGAATCAGCACTCCCAGCTTTTAGCCCAAACTTCAGAGGAAAATTCACTTGAAATTTCCAATAGTCCCAGCCTTTGGCAGCATATAAATAAAAAAGAAAGAAATGGCCTAGGGGTGCAATTCTAGAACATCTTAGCACAATCAGTACACTCAGAAATTGAGCACATTAGACACTATTGATTTGTTTATGTTTATTTAGTTAGTTAGCTTTTGTTTGAGACAGAGTCTTGCTCTCTCACCGAGGCCGGAGTGCAGTGGCAGGATCTTGGCTCACTGCAACCTCCACCTCCTGGGTTCAAGCGATTCTCCTGCCTGAGCCTCCCGTGTAGCTGAGATTACAGGCATGTGCCACCACACTCAGCTAATTTTTATATTTTTAGTAGAGACAGGGTTTTACCATGTTGGCCAGGCTGGTTTCAAATGCCTGACCTCAGGTGATCCACCCGCCTTGGCCTCCCAAACACCACACCCAGCCTAGACACTATTTAATAAGAATTCATCCAGTACTTTATTCATGTATTTAGACTAGACTCTCTACTTACCTGTCTTGTCAGAATCACTCTCAAACTCATAGGGCTTGGAGAGCTAAGTAACATTCTAAGAATTCAGGAGCTATAAGTTTTCATACTTAAGTCCTTCAGTACCCAACAGGCCTAAGTTTAAATCCCTGAGCAGGCTGGGCATGGTGGCTCATGCCTGTAATCCCAGCCCTTTGGGAGGCCAAGGCAGGCGGGTCACCTGAGTTCGGGAGTTCATGACCAGCCTGGCCAACATGGTGAAACCCTATCTCTACAAAAAAAAAAAAAAGTACAAAAATTAGCCAGGCTTGGTGGTGCGTGCCTGTAATCCCAGCCACTTGGGAGGCTGAGGCAAGAGAATTGTTTGAACCCAGGAGGGAGAGGTTGCAGTGAGCCAAGATCGCACCACTACACTCTAGCCTAACAGAGCAAGACTCCATCTCAAAAAAGTTTTTTCCAAAAGATAAAACCCTTAAGCAAAGGTTGTAGAGATCTGGGGAGAATTGGGACTAATGGATTTGGGGTTTGGGGATGGGGGTGATGAAAATATTCTAAAATTGATTGTGGTGATAGTCGTACAAACTGGTGTATATACTAAAGATGATTGAAGTGTATACTTTTGATGGGTGAATCATATAAAATGTGAATTATATCGCACTAAAGCTATTAGAAGGCTGAGCAAGTGTAGCAAAGTACCTGGTGCTGACTTACAGTAGATGCTCAATTAATGGAATCCGTTATTGTCAGAGTAGCTGTGGTAATAATAGCGTTGACCATAACGGCAGTGAAATTATTCCCATATCCTCCATAAAGTTTCTTAATCCGGCATACCCCCAAATCTCCTTTTTTCTCTAGATTATTATCTAGACAAGATATGTAAATAATTTCATTTGGTTATCTATTATTTCATTTGAAATTTTGAAAGATGAATGACCTCTCTCTTTTTGTGATTGCTCTTCTGTCGTTGTCCAGAACATTAAGTTCACATCTTCTATTCAACTAGTTTCATCGTTAAAAGTAACTTTGTTTTTGTTTATATCATCTTTCAAGTAGACTGTGGACTCCCCCAACCCTCAAGGACAGGGACAGTATCTCTCCCACAAAAACTTGCACTTGGGAAGTGTTCCATATTATTTCTGTGCTGTATTTTATTGTCAGATCTGTTGGAAATATAAAATGAATCTCCTTATAGCCTCTTTTGTTTCTCAGTTTTCCCACCTGTCCTTTTTTTTCTGGTTTCTAGTTGTGTTTCAATCATCTTTCTACAGATGTGAAGAATCAGGCAGTCTCTAAACATGGCTGTTACCCCTTTG